AAAAAAAAAAAAAAAAAAAAAAAGAAAAAATTAAAATTTTTTAATTAAAAAAATCTACACATCACCTTATCTTGAAAACTTCACCTGCTGTTCAGGACTGGGTATCCCACAGCCACACAGGCCCACACTACAGCAATGACCTCCTGTATTATAACTGTCTACATTAGGAGTCAGTAGGGAGTAGCAATTAAGAACAGGGGCTTTAGAGTTCAGTTGTTTGGGTTCTAGTGTCAGACCCAGCACTAGCTTTGTAACCTCTCTGAACCTCAATTTGCTTCTCAGTAAAATGAAGATAGCTACCTCATGAGATTCTTGTAGTTAATGTATGTGGACCCAGGTCCATGTAATATGGATTCAATAAATGTTAGCCATCTTGAAATTGTCTGCATTCCTCATTTAGACTCTTAAGTTGTTTGAAGGCAGAAATGGATCTTCCAAACATAGCTCTCAGTTCACCCTCAAGAAATGTTTACTGAGCCAGTTAAGAGGCCTGGGGCCAAACTGCTGCGGACCTCAGTTTTCACATTTGTCAAATGTCTGGATTGCACTTCAGATAAAGTCTGTATGACTCCTAACATTCATTCATTCATCAAATATTTGTTGGCAACCTATTACGTGCCACTCACTGTGCTAGACAATGGGGGAAGGGACAGGCTGGAGGAGCCTGGGAAGTAGCAGGGCCAGACCACCAGTTTGGAGCCAGACAGGCCCGGCAGTTTGGAGCCAGACAGGCCCGGCTGTGTGAATTCTTGCTGTCACAAGTCAAAAACATTTGTGTAAGCCACTTGATTTCTCTGAGCCTCAGCTTCCCTATGGGCAAAAGGGGATGGGTATATTTTCCCCAAAGATCTGTGATGAATATTGAAAGGGTTAAGCTGTGTCGTGTCCCAAGCACAAGCCAATGAAATGTTGGTGGACGTCCTCATTCTACTCCCACCTCCTCAGCTTCCTTACAGGAAAAGGAGATACGCGTGTAGGTAAGTATCCTATACACCAAGTCAGAACTAGAAGTGGGAACAGAATTCCCAGCTGGGATCCGGAAGCATTTCTAGGAGCACCCTTTGAGGAGTAGGTAGGAATTGGACTCCTGGAAATTCCAGGCCCAGGGAGGAAAGCGAATTGTGAGGAGGAACGCTGGTCTGGGTCTGAACGGCTCTGAGAGGTCTTCAAGTTTGGGGGATGACGTTGGGCTGTACGATCCTAGGAACAAGAGAGTGGACATCTCCCCCAGCCAACACACCCACGCCGGGCCCTGGGACGTGCCAGGGTTGCCCTTTCCCAGTCCCGCCTCCGGAGAGGTCCCAGGTGCAGCAAGAGCGGGTGGCTGCTTGGCCACAGGAGGGCAGCAGCGGCCCTTCCTGACCCCACCCCGAGCACTCTTAACTTTCCCGACGCCGGTCCTCCCCTAGGGGCTGGAAGGTTGGGCAGAGTGAGTTCACCCAGGTAGTGCTGGCCCCGCTCGCCCGGCTCCTCCGCAGTCCCGGAGTAACCCCGTGGCCCTCCCCTACCTGGCGGAGTGGACGCCCCCGGCCCTAGGCCTGCGGACCAGGGAAGCGGCGGCCGACCTGCGCGGGGCCGGGGCGGGCCGAGCCAAGGGCCGCCCCCAGCCGACCCTCCCCCTGCCGGGCCCGCCCTCCCCGCCGCGGAGCTGGAGGAGGGCGGGGCGGGGCCCTGGGGTCAGTCTGAGCCTCAGGCACCGGCCGCGCAGCTGGAGGCGGCGGAACCGAAGGTACCCTGGGCCGGGGCTGCGGGCAGCGGGGCGTCTTGGGAACTCGTCTCTGGGAGAGCACTTTGCCTTCCTCTCTGGGCTGGAGATCGAGGCCCGTGCAGGGAGGGGGCTTCGGCCTGGGCTTGGACCCCGTTCCCTCCCTGCGGAGTCGGCATCCGGGCTGGGCGGGGGTCGGCCGCGTCGGCACCTCCCGGGGCTGCACCGAGGGGGCCCGGACTTGCTGGCAGGAGCTCTCGCCTCCTGAGGTCCGAGTCGGAGCCCCTTCCCCTCTCCTTCCAGCTTCCTGGAACTTGCCCCGCCGGGTGAGGGGCGAGGGAGCCTCAACTCAGACGCTCCAGCCCCCAGGGCGGGCGGCCGCAGGGGACCTAGAGTGGGATGGTGTGGGAATTCCTCCAGGCCAGGAGGGAGGCATGGCGGGAATAGGGGCGGGATGTGACCATTGGGACCTGCCACTGTTCGACAGGGTCTGGACGCCGCCCTAGACGGTTCCTGGAGCCCGCTTGTGTTGAGGATAAGGGAGATGGGGAAGGATCCAACTCTGTGGGGGGTGTGTGTGTGTGTGTGTGTGTGTGTACAGACAGAAAATGAGAATGAGAAGTGTGTGTGTGTGTGTGTACAGACAGAAAATGAGAATGAGAAGTGTGTGTGTGTGTGTGTACAGACAGAAAATGAGAATGAAAATCCTTCTCCTCCTTCATACTGGAACTAACAAAGAGTATCCTGGGGTTTGGGGCTGGGATCCCGAGGCCGAGTCCCACCCTCACTCTGGTTTTCAAGTTGGGAATGAGGTATCTCCTGGTATCTCCAGAACGGATTCCTTCCCTAGGTGTAGGGTGGGTCAGCAAAGTCAACCGGCCGCTCTGGATCATCTGGGAATTCAAGAGAGCGGTTGGAGAGAGATCTGGTGTATCCACACTGTCTTGTCTTGGGGAAGGCCCCAGAAGTTCCAGGCTCCATTCCAGGACCTATGTGGGGCTCAGTTGCCCCTCTTAAGGGGTCAGTGGGACAGTCCCTCTGGGGCTGCCTCCCATAGAGAGTTATCCCTGCCATCTTGGCCTTGGGCCTAGTGTCCTGGCCTGGCCTGGGCTGCCTGCTGTTCGGGCCCAACCGTAGCCTGGAGGGAAGGTCTTCTAATTGAGCTGGAGGCTCCAGGTCTCTTAACGCATGCCTCAACCCCGGGCTTCTGTCCTCTGCCTCCTACCACTCTGGTGCCATCTGAATTACCCTGCTGGGGGGACAGCAGTGACATACTCATGCCTAAGTGACTGGCTTTCACCCTAGTAGTGATTGCCCTCCATCAACACTGCCCATCCCAGGTTGGGGCTACCCCAGCCCATCTTTACAAAACAGGGCAAGGTGAACTAATGGAGTGGGTGGAGAAGTTGGAAGAAATCCTAGCGTCAGTCACCTGGATAGAATTCCCGAGAAACCCTCTTTTTGGAGGATGGTTTCCATTTCTGGAGGCTATCTGCCAGCAGGGTGAATGCCTTCTTGCTTGTCTTCTGGGGAATCAGAGAGAGTCCGTTTTGTGGTGGGAAGAGTGTGGCTGTGTACTTTGAACTCCTGTAAATTCTCTGACTCATGTCCACAAAACCGACAGTTTTGTGAATGTGTGTGGAGGCAAGGGAAGGGCCACCTAGGATCTGCTGTTGAAGGGAACAGGCCTGGGGCTGGAGGATTCGTTTCCTAAAGGGCAGTGTGAGGTGGTGGTGGGGTGTGGGGAGTAGAGGCCTTCAGTCAGCCCAGTTTGACAGGATGTGGGACTGAGAGAAAAAGCTAGGTTTGAAGCCGAGATCAGGTTACCGTCGCTTTCTTAACTGCTCCCTGCCTGGTTGGTGCTGGGACTGGCCCTCATTTGTCTCTTCTTTTGGGACTCCTCCCAACCCAGACTCTAGCCCCCTCCCCCTTCCCAACAGCCTTGACTTCATCTCAGCTCCAGAGCCCGCCCTCTCTTCCTGCAGCCTGGGAACTTCAGCCGGCTGGAGGTCGGTTCCCCTCCCCAGGGAAGGAGGAAGTGAGGGAAGCTGCGAAGGTGTGATGAACTGTGCAGATGCTCGCCGTGTGTGCTGGGGGTGGGGGACACTTGGAAGCCCGGGAAGCTGACTCCTTGCCCTGAGTCACAGGGAGGGGTGGGCAGGGCCTGTGGGTGAGCTGGACCGAGGGAGGAAGGGACTGTTCCAGAGTGGGTGGAGGTGATTCCCTGGTGGATTCTTCGCAGTCACTGTGCTGTGGTGGATGTGTGGCTCCCTACAGTGTGGTCATTGTCCCCTGCCAGGGGCTGAGTAACCCAGTGTTGCTGGCAGGCCCAGGAGGAAGGGGGGAGGAAGGCAGCCTGCCCAAACTCGAGCTGTGGGCACTGCTGGGACTGAGCCTCCTTTGTATGACTTGGGGCTTTGGGGACCGGGTGGGGTGGACCAGGGAAGCTGGCTGGCTGCTGCCCCTATCCTCTGGGTTTCCCTGCTTCTGCTCTCCTTCCTACCGCTGAGGTGACATGTTGAAGAGGCACGGCTTTGAGTCACACAGTCCTGCTATGGATGCTATCCCTGCCGCTTATAAGCCACAGCTCTGAATCTGTCTTAACCTCACTGAGCCTTAGTTTCCTAGTTTGTCAAAATGGAGAGTACACCATCTACCTCCCAGGCATCTGGGGACCAAAGGAGATAATTCCTGCCAAAATGCCCGACAGAGTGCCTGGCACCTAGGGACTCTGTAACTATTCTTCCTTTACCCACCTACCACCTGGTAGCTGGTTCTGCTACTCTGGTCCTAGAGAGGGACTCCTCATTTGTGACTGGACAGGTATGACTTGTGCTGAGGGACAATCTGTTCTAGATTGGACCTTAGAGATTATTAAACTGTGAATGCATCAAAATCCTGGTAACCAATGAAGTCTGACTTGAAACCCTGATGTGTGAAGTAGATAGAAGCTTGCTCCCTGGACGTCCCGCATCCCTGAGCAGCTCTTGAGCTACCTGGAGTCCCCAAGTTGGCAAGTGGATTAGATTGAAACACATGTTTTCCAGCTCCCAAGTGGGGTCATCATCCACCTCCCACCACTGTATTCTAACCCATCGAGGGAGACCTGTCCCTGACCCAGAGATTAGGAATTTCGAGCTCTGTTGTTGCACAATTGGTGTTTGGCCAGAAGATGCCTGAGCAAGCCCCCTGTCCCTTTGCTAGAGGCCTCGGTTTCCAGGAAGGTTTGAGGGCCCTAGAGAAGTGTTTTTGGACTTTAATGGCTTTTCCTCAAATCCTCAATACCTCTTTCCTGGCAGCCCCACCATGGCTGCAATCCGAAAGAAGCTGGTGATCGTTGGGGATGGTGCCTGTGGGAAGACCTGCCTCCTCATCGTCTTCAGCAAGGATCAGTTTCCGGAGGTCTACGTCCCTACTGTCTTTGAGAACTATATTGCGGATATTGAGGTGGACGGCAAGCAGGTGAAGGCAGAGATGCCCTTCCCACCTGACCCCGATCCCCGCCCCCAGTCACTGAATGACCTAGTATGTCCTTCCCCACTCCTACCCCTGTCCTTGTGTCATTCTCCCTGCTGGAACCAGTAGAAGTTAGGAAGTATATCTGCAGTCTTAAAAAACCTGGATATACTTTCTGGTTCTTCCACAGACTGGCTCTGTAACCTGGGCCGAGTCCCTTTGCCTCTGGGTTTAAGCTCCCCCACCTGCAAAATGGGGATGATGGTAAGACCTCCCTCAAAGGGTTGTCGTGAGAATTAACCAAAATAATGGTGCTCACAGTGGCAACTCAAGGGTCAAACACGTGTCTTAGCTTTCTTTAACAAACTGACCTAATTTATGTTGTGAGACAGTGATTAATACAATGCCTGGCACATAGCAGGTACTCAATAAAGAAGTTCAGTGAGCCCAAAGAACAGTGGTTTCAGAGGACCTTTGGGTGGCAGGGTTGGGGCCCTCAGGCCAGCTACTCACTGGCCTTGTGTGTCAGGTGGAGCTGGCTCTGTGGGACACAGCAGGGCAGGAAGACTATGATCGACTGCGGCCTCTCTCCTACCCGGACACTGACGTCATCCTCATGTGCTTCTCCATCGACAGCCCCGACAGCCTGGGTGAGGAGATTGGAGGGAGGGGACTGAGAACCCCTCGGAATCAGCCAGAGGTGTCGTGCCTTGGCCTGTCTTCAGTCATCTTCAGAGATGGGGGGGGATGCAGGGGAGCACTCAGGCCCTGCTGGTCTCCTTTACTGTGGTAACTGGCCCTCTGAAGGCATACTGCTCTTGAGGTTTTGAGCTGTGAAAGGGACCATCATGCTGAATGGCTTCTAAGATTCTGCTGTGGGAAGATGAGGGCCCCCCAGGGGAGCTTTCTAGCTTAAGTGGAGGCACTGACACCTGTTGGGGCATGTCTGCACAGAAAACATTCCTGAGAAGTGGACCCCAGAGGTGAAGCACTTCTGCCCCAACGTGCCCATCATCCTGGTGGGGAATAAGAAGGACCTGAGGCAAGATGAGCACACCAGGAGAGAGCTGGCCAAGATGAAGCAGGTGGGTGCGGCTGCCAGGCTGGAGCCCCTGGGGAAGAAGGCACCCTCTGAGGGGTTGCAGACGGGCAAAGGGAGCTTCCTTCCAGCTACTGCCATGTGTTAGGGGAGATGGTAATATCTCCTGGTGAGGGAGGACCCGTAGGGTTGTGTCTGATGAGGCATCAGAGAATGAAGTGACTTGTCCAAAGTCACTTGGCATTTTTATTTCTTCCAGTTAATTGTCCATTCTGTTTAGAATTGGGACTATTAAGATGATTAAGAAAATCTGCCCTCGGGGAGACAGCTTTTGTTCGGGTACCCAGGCTGTGCCATCACAGTGCCCCTGGGGGAGGTGTAGGGTGATGTGGATGTGGGAACGAGGGCAGGCATTGTGTAAATGGCTGGAAGAAGGGATGAGAGTGCTGGCTTATTCAGGGACCTAAGTGGCTCTCTAGCCAAAGCACTAGAGTTTATTAGAGAAAGCTGTCAGGGTAAGAAATGCAGATAATTAAGGCAAAGTTTCAAAGTGGGGAGATGTTAGGTCTGTGTGTTAGAAAAATAATTCTGACTGGAAGAGTGAGGATGGAGGCAGAGCAGTCAGGAGGTGGGAGGCGCTCATTCAGGCAAGAGAACTGGGGGCTGTGTGTGGGAGGAGGTGGGGCTGAATGGGAATGGAGGGAGGGACCGGAGGGATTTTTGGATCCCTGGCCCAGAAGCTGCCCAGGGTAGCTGGGGCCTGGGCGCTTTTTTTGGGTCAGGACTGGAGGAGGAGGCATTTGTTCCAGCTGCTACACTTATGGGTGAGGCAGGAGAGGTTCATGTAGTCACCAGCTTCCTTTGACCCCTCATCTTCTGTCTTCTCAGGAGCCCGTTCGGTCTGAGGAAGGCCGGGACATGGCGAACCGGATCAGCGCCTTTGGCTACCTTGAGTGCTCAGCCAAGACCAAGGAGGGAGTGCGGGAGGTGTTTGAGATGGCCACTCGGGCTGGCCTCCAGGTCCGCAAGAACAAGCGCCGGAGGGGCTGTCCCATTATCTGAGATCCCCAAGGCCTTTCCAAACATGCCCCCTCCCTTCAACAGGGGTACAGAAATTATCCCCCTACAACCCCAGCCTCCTTAGGGCTCCATGCTGAAGGCTCCCCTTTTCCGTTCCCTCCTGCCCAGGACTGCATTGAGGTTTCCTAGCCCTGAGGTGGTGGGGTGGTGCAGGCCCTCCCTCCCAGTGCTCTGGGAACCAGGCCTATGCCCTGCCCTTCCTCAGGGCCCCTGGGGCTCTTGCCCCTTTGACCTTTCCCAAAGGATGGTCACACACCAGCACTTTATACACTTCTGGCTCACAGGAAAGTATCTGCAGTAGGGGACCCAGAGTCCCAGGCCCCTGGAGTTGTTTTTGGCAGGGGCCTTGTCTCTCACTGCATTTGGTCAGGGGGGCATGAATAAAGGCTACAGGCTCCAACGTGTGTGGCAGCTTCTGGTCTTTCCCTCTGGGTGCTTAGTGTCCCATCTCTTTTCATGTCCAAGTTGCTTGCCAGCCTGGCCCCCTGTCTACAAGGCAGGCCAGCGGCCGGCAGGGTGGAGTCTTAGAGCAAAGGATGAGGTCATGTCTGGCTCTGGGCCAAGGAGGCGGGTGAAGGGAGTGGTCTGTAGCAGGGGGCTAAACTTAGAAACCTGTGGGTGGCTTCCCTGCCACCTCCCACTGGGTTTCCTCTCCAGCTGGGAGGGGGTGTGTCCCAGAGCTGGGCTGAAAGTCCCACCCTTCCCTACTGGGTCAACTTGGGGGCTCAGGAAGCTGGGGCCAGGCAGAGGAGACATTATCAAGGCTTTTGCATAGAACAAGATTTTGTTTTCAGAGTTTTCTTCCTCCCCCTTCCCCCAATTGTTAGCAGCTTGATGTGTCATTCTCCCCAGCAGGGGAGGGGGTGGAATGGCTTGGGTTGTAAACTCCCTCCCCCAGCCTTCCTGTCCCTTGAAGGGGCAGCTCAGCTGGGTTCTGGTTCAGGGTCAGGCAGGCAGTTAAGGCTTGGCTGGTGCGAGAAGGCTGGGTGCTGTGTCTTCAGAGCTCATTCCTCCACTCTGGCTCCACTTGCAGAGACAGGCCCCCTTCACCCTCTTGCTCCTGGGGGAGGCAGTCATGACCATGGGACCCTGGAAAGAAATAAAGTACACTTTGTCTTCCTTACCACCTCCTCTGGCACTGTCCCCAACCTGGCCCACCCTGGCCCAGCCATACCTGAGGTAGAGGGGCTGAGCTTGCTCAGACCTTGCAGTAAATTCTGTCCCTGTTGCAGGTCCAGTTTGGCAGGGAAGGGACACCCGGTATACCCTCCGTTTTCTTTACAGAACTCCAGGAATCTGTGGGGTACAGAGGAGTGCCAGCAGAGACTGGAGGCTAAGCCACGGTCCTGTCACATCTGAGCTGTACTTGCTCAACCTCTGGATGTCATTTAACTTGTAAATATAATAGGGGTGCTGTGAAAATGGACACATCTGAGGATTAACTGAGCGATAAGCAAGCGCTTAAAAAAGATCCACCTGCCTTAGGCAGGGGCTGTGGCCACCAAGAGGGAGAATGGGGTGGGAATGCTCACACTTTCCAGTCGGGATCATGGCCCAGGAGAAGGGGGTTCCCCACGACGATGAGCAGGGCCTTGGCCCGGGTCACAGCTACATTGAACCTCTGGAAGGAAGAAGTGTGGTCATGGGAGGGAAGGGCCCCAAGATGGAAGAATTCCTGCCACCCCGACCAGCCCTCAAACCTTGGGGTTCTTAAGGAAACCCAGATTAAAGTCCAGATCCAGCTGCACAAAACTCTGGCTGCTTCGCACAGTGGAGATGAGGATGACGCTTCGTTCTTGGCCTTGGAATTCTTCCACTGAACCCACCTATTGGGGAAAGAGGCAGGGCCTGAGACCAGCCAGGCGTGTCAAAGGGGTGCCCTACCCCAGCAAGCCTGCCATCCAAGGAGGGTACAGAGAGGTCACTGGGCAATTGTAGACCAGTGGAGTGAACAAGTGAGTGCTGCGACACGGCCCAGGGAAAGGGGACAGGAGGTAGGCAATGGAAGCTGAAACCTGAAGGGTGAATCCTGTTGAGGGGTGGGGCCTGCAAAGTGTTCTAAGGAAAGAAAACAGCATTGCAAAGCACACTGGAACTCAGAGCAGTGACTTTCACACTTTCCTGAAAATAATCACCAAGTATCTGTTAAGAATATACAACCCTGGGCCCTAACCCAGAGCCCCCCATCAGAATTTCCGAGAGAGAGGCCTCTAAGTCTTAGAGCAGTGTTTTCAACCCTGGCTGCACATTGGAATCACCTGAGAAGCTATAAGAACTACCAGTGCTCTGGCTCTGCCCCATAGCTGTATGAGCTGGTGGGCGGGGCCCTGGCATGGGGGTATTAAAAGCTCTCCAGGTGATTGTTATCTGCAGCCAGTGTTGAGACCACAACCTTACAGAGGCTACTGGGGGTGGGGGTGGCAGCATCACATGACAGGCCACGGAATTTGGACTTTATCCGTAGGGCAGAGGCCCCAAACCTGCCTGAGTCTAAGAATGACAGGAGGTGCTTGTTAAACATCCAGGCTGCCTGATCCCATCCCAGACCATTAAGTTGGAATCTCCAGGTGTGAGAGGCTTGGGGAGAGCTCCAGCTCTATTCAAGGCAGCAGGGGTGGGACGGGGATGTGGGCTGGACTGGAGTGGAAGCTGGAGAAAGTCTTTGGAAGTGGGCAAGTGGGAGCACACGGAGGGGAGGGAGTGAGTGTGGAACAGCGTGTCACCTTCAAGTCCTTGATGTCATCCAGTCCTCGAAGCTCCCTGTCAAGTTTGGTGATGCAGTAACGGATTTTCTCCACCTGGAAGGAGGGGGACAGGTGCCTTTCTCTCCTGCCATTAACCTCATGCACGAGGGAGCCTGGCAGGCGGCCAGGGAGCTGGGGAACAAAGGGAGGGGACAGCTGACCTCGGTGCTCTTCTGAGATACGGAGCCAGCAGAGGCCTAAGCTCCTGAAGCCTCTGTCTAGTGGTCTGGATATTAAGGAGGTACCATCTGGGGGAGGGGCCCCACCCTTGCTGGTAACTGAGGACCTGACCTGTTTCCGGTACGGGGAGATGACGCCCACGCTTCGGGGGCTCAGGCGGGCTTTGCCCTTCTTGGAGGAGGGGGCCAGGAGCAGCTTCAGGTAAGAAGTCACTGTGGCAGCCTCTTCAGGGTTGAAGAAGGATGGGCTGTTGCCTTCACGCTCATCTTTGCCCATTACGCCGTGAAAGATGATGGGAAAGCCCTGGACATGGGGTCAAGGGAAACCCTCAGCCAGACCACCCTCCCTCAATTCCCTCCCTTCCCAAACCCTTCCAGAGAGTAAGAGATCCCAGGCCAAGGTGACAAAGGGAGGGGCTGCACCTTCAGTGGGAGGGAAGTCAGGGTACAGGGGAGGGAGCCTGTGCCCCTGCCCTGCTTAGCCTCACCTGTCGAGGCAGGCCTGCCCAGCGGCAGAAGCGTTCTCGATCCACGACATCAGCACAGGCCTGCAGCTCCCCTTCATAATAGAGCTGGTTAGGAATGTCCAGGATGGTGGGATGAGACCTGGGAGGCCGGAGGAGGAAGAGCAAGACCGAGGGTCAGATTCCCTCTGCCCCACAGGGGCTCCGCTCTACTCACTCTGGGCCCCCATACATTAGCCTGCTGCCCCCCTGGCTCCCTGGATAGCAGGACACTCATCCATAGTATCTGCTGCCAGGCACTGTAAACCACAGAAAACAGAACCAGAGTCCTGCTTTCTGTTCCAGAGAGCATCTAGTCCAGGGACTCCACAGACCCATGACATTTAAAACTAAAAAATTTGGGGCCCATTTTCAGGTTTCAAATTTACCAAGGACAGTACGAAACCAAATTATCCTTGACTATCATGTTATTTGATGAGACAGTGTGTTAAATCCAAAAATATAAGTAGTGATGACACAATAGCTAACATTTATTGAGCTCTTAGTGATAGCATAAAACTCATCTAAGCATTTTAGATGGCTTAACTCATTCACTAAAAGTATACAGCTCTTTAATTTGAATAACAATAGGTTTATGAAAAAACTGTATCTTCCCTATTTTTCTTTCTTTCTTTCTTTTTTGAGATGGAGTCTCGCTCTATCACCCAGGCTAGAGTGCAGTAACGAGATCTCAGCTCACTGCAACCTCCGCCTCCCAGGTACAAGCGATTATCCTGCCTCAGCCTCCCAAGTAGCTGGAATTACAGGTGCCCGTCACTATGCCTGGCTAATTTTTGTATTTTTAGTAGACATGGGGTTTCACCATGATGGCCAGGCTGGTCTCAAACCCCTGACCTCAAGTGATCAGGGGTGGGAGCCTGACCTACCTTGGCCTCCCAAAGTGCTGGGATTACAGCCATGAGTCACTGTGCCTGGCTTCCTCCCTGTTTTTCTTATTTCTCCTTGGATTGCCTGAAAACTTCATCTGGGATTGGTACCAGACACACCCGAGCCTCTAGGAACCACTGCCCACCCGCTAAGATGCAGATAAGGCTGACTGCTGTCGTGTGAAACCACTGGCTAAGTCACACAGACAACAAGCAGCAGTGCTGGGGCTAGAAAAACCTCCTACCTTCCGGTTTAGTCTTTCTGCATCACACAACCTCTGAGCAACAGGACTGCAAGCCAGACTCTCCAGCAGGGGCTGCACACAGGATGTGAAGGCACAGGATATGGCAGGGGAGGCAAGGGCGTGGGAATACCTGTAGTTTCGGAGCAGCTTGGTTATGAACTGGGGGTCATAGCCTTCAGGGCCCTTCTTGTACAGGGAGTTGTAGGTGAGCAGCCGCTCCAGCAGTGAGTATCCCAGCCCATGCTTCTGGGTCAGTGGGGAACGCAGCACAGGCCCCAGCTGCCGAGGGTCTCCTGCCAGCACCAGCTGCCCTCCTGGATCGCCTGTTTCCTTTACTTCCATCAGCCCTGGGAAGCAGAAGAGGTGTGGGGAGAAAGGTAAGTGGTGCAACCTCTCTGACCCACACAGGGTGTATACCTGCAGCCCCACCTGAGTCCCTCACCTGCTATAGCTACCAGACTCTCAGGCTCCATGCAGTGGCCAGCCTCATCGATGAAGATGTGTGTGAAGTGATCAATGGGAAACTGGGCCGAGACCAACCTGGGAGGTGTCAGGCCAGGCAGGGGTCATATCCAGGCACCCAACTACCAAACCTGAATGCTTTCCCAGGCTGGCTCCTCACCACCCCCGCACCCAGCCCCAGAAACCATTCTTCCCCATTTCCCCAGCCCGTTACCCCTTTGATTACACTTACGATTCAGAGACACACCCACACACACTCCCCACCTGCCAGCAGTGATGAGGGTGGTAATTAAGACCCGGTATTCCTGCAGCTTCTTCTTGGCGGGAAATACATACTCCCCCTTCTTTGCGTCCCAGTTGCAGCAGGGCTGTGGATTGTG